TCAAAACCTCTACAATAGCTAAACCCAATCCCAACAACTTCCTGATATACCAAAAGAGAAATAATACATTACAAAACCAACCTTGTGCAGATCAATGGTGCGTCCATTTTCTCTAGGATTGCTTGACAAATGGGATCATCAGGGATACGCACACCCACATTTTTCCTTGAAGCATATTTGGCAGTAGTAGTCCCATACCTTATACACTGTTTAGGCAATGCTTTGCTTGCAGTTAAGATGAAAGTATACTGTCTCCACACAAATTCTGTTATTAAAAATTTATCCACTAGAAGGTTTCGTGAACTTATTGTAATTAAAAACCTGCAAGTACCTCACAATTTGGTCTCCAAACAAGCACAGGAAACAGAATCAACAATCATCAAGTTGCAGCTGGAAACTGAATTATGCCAAAAAAAAAAATAATAATAACAATGACAAGCATGAAGACTCCTTTATTTGATTTTGAATATTCTCTTTGACGACCATAATGCTCCATCAAAGTATCAAACTGGGGAACATACAATAAGCTGGTCGGTCATGAAACCTAAAGCTATTGATATTAGATTTAAAGATGGAGATCTACCACTTGAGAAACCACAACAATATGATGTGTCCCGCTAAAGGTTCCCCCATGCATCCATAATAAAAAACAGCATGTTTCGACTTTTCTGGTGGTGAGATGCCACTAATGGGTATCCTAAAATTCCTATTATAAATATAGGAGTGAGATTAAAACCATCTTACAGGGCCAGGCAAGCAACGCTTGACCACTCGAAATATATTTGCATGGCCTTGTCCATCACCACCAGGGAACCCCATTGTATGTGTCAATGTCTCGAAAAGAGCGACATAAGATACTAAGAGGCTGCATAAAATGTAAAAGTCATCAAAAGCAAAAAGGTTAGATGCATCATCCATGATAAAAACAAAGAGTGATTATGTGTGTGTAGCTAATTAAAAACGAGCACATCAAGCTTTGATTCTGCACCATCCATATAGCAAAAACTCAAGTGCCAATAAGAATTAGTAACCAGGTTTTGTTCGTAGGCAGGTTTTGCTCATAGCGTCTTTCAAGATTTTGAAGTAATGATACTTGCCTTTGAAGGTTCTATATTTTTTATTCTGCAATTGAACAAGCAAGACCTATGTCAGCAAGAAATTGACAAGGATAGTGCTCAAATCTGAAGTTAGTACAAAAGAGACAACAGTATTTACCTACGAATATGTTCAATTGCAGAGTCACTTTTCAAATGGCAAACAATTGCATACCTATGAACAAAGAAAGCAGTAACAATCACTGAATGAAAAACTAAGAATCAAACCCGAAAGTGAATTTAAACACACCAATTATAACTGCATATCAAAATTTCATAAACAAAACTCTAGCTTACCAAACCATCAAGAATTAGTTTTATCTAACTCTACACACAAAGTTATAATTACTAGTAATAGTTCATTACAGCTGAACCGAAAGGAAGGAAAGCAGCATACACAGTGTCAGTAGGAATGACACCGACAGCTCCCTCTTTCAGTAGTTGGATCACTGGTTCAAGTTTCCAATTGCCTGCTCCTGATGGATCAGCTTCAACATAGAGCAAGCTATCCTCCTAACATTGTACAATTAATAAGACTGTCATCAGAAATCATATTATAAAAAATCCTAAACAAATAATTTCATTTATTATTTTCAACTGATTTTTGAAGATTGTGATTTCATTTTTTCACTTTATTCTAGAGTTTTAGAACCCAATTTCTCACATCTCCTTGATTGTAACAACATTTCACGAAATGAAACAAACTACAAGAAGCATATTTGTTTGGCTAATTTCTCCTTGATCCTTATATTATGAGACTGAAAAAAAAAAAAGAGAGAAAATAAATTTAAAAAAAAAGGACTATCTAAAGAGAAGAAATTAGACCTTGGTAAAGCGAGGAGCGGAATATTTCAGGCGCTTAGGGCTTCTCTTGACAGACATGGCCAAGACACGCAGCGGAGCGGGCTTCGATGTGACGAAGCGCACACGGCAGAAGCATGGCGCCGCACCTGGCTGTGGTGCGGCTAAAGAGCGCAGAAAAGAAAGAAATTGAGTAGACTTTTCACCACACAGTACGGCTTCTGCCATTTTTGTCGAGTCTGGAATGTCAAAGGGGCGCAGAGGAGCGTCAATTGAAGGAACTGAGGATGAACATACTGGAGAGCTCCTTTACATTTTGCTGATAGCCAGAAACTGTGAAGTGTTCTCCTGTACAAAACGACGCCGTTACGCGCTAATATTGTTTCGTTTACTTTTAATCATCAAAATTTATACTAAAATAATTTTTCAAGATAAAATAAAACAATTTTTTTTTTAATTTTTTCTTAAAAAAAAAATAAATGGAAGAAGAAGGTTCTTTCCAGAATGAGCACTTTCATATTTTCATTTGACAACATTTTTCCCAACAAGTTATCAGCCACTCAGCCTATCACCCAACGTATCGCCCCCACCAAACATGTCACCTGACACTAAAATTTCGAACGTTGTTGTTAGCGTGCTTTTTTCCATGCCTCGGGAGAAGGAAAGGTGAGAAGGAGAAACCTTTCGTCGTTTCAACGAATTAAATCATATGCTCAGAGGAATATTAAAAAAAGTCGGTCGTATGCATGATACACTCGGTCATCCGTGTACACATATTACTTTTTGTTGTTTTCTGTGACCGATGTCCCATCAAATC